AGCCACAGAGCAAGGCAAAGACAACCCCTCTCTGAATAAATTTTGTCAGACCTGACAGCCAACGTGATATAGTGCTTTGAGTGTTGGCCTTTGAAGGCTAGGATTAAATTTCCCACTTGGCCATGGAAATCCTGTGTTAGGCTCACCATAATGCCTCAATAGTATTCAAGTTTCAAAGCTAAAAATCTTTACAGTCATTCAATTGTGCATTCAAGCACATACTTTTAGCACCTACAGGAAAGTTTCAAGAGAAGAAGCAGCTCAGAAGAGTCTGCCCTCACCAACTTGAGAGAGGAGGAAGAGGAAGAGGGAGAAGAGAGGGAGGAGTATTTTATGTTTTTGCAAACACACCTGTAAGGTTCTGTGGTCAAATGGTGTGGTTGCTTAATGCGCCCTGAAAATGTGTGACTGATCAAATAGAAAATTCTGCAAGTAAGATATAGTGTGGAGTATAAGATTTCAGAAGGGCAGCGGCGGCGCAGTGGTTAAACTGCTAAGTTGCAGAACTTGCTGATCACAAGATCAGTAGTTCAAATCCGTGGGATGGGGTGAGCTCCCATTGTTAGCCCAAGCTTCTGCCAAACTAGCAGTTTAAAAACATGCAAATGTGAGTCGATCAATAGGTACCACTTTGGCAGGAACAGCGCTCCATACAGTCATGCCAGCCACATGACCTTGGAGGCATCTACGGACAACGCCGGTTCTTCAGTTTAGAAATGGAGATGAGCACCAACTCCCAGAGTCAGAAATGACTAGACTTAATGTCAAAGGGAAACCTTTACCTTTATAGGATTTCATAGTAGAAGCTTGCAGGAAACTCTTGTAATCTAAAACCCAGACTCTTGAAGAGGTGCCTTTGAAATCAGAGTAATGGCTGGGAATGTCTACTGCTTTTCTCCCAGCCTCAGAAATTCTTACCAACAACTTCTGGATCAAATTATGTTCTTTTTTTGGAAAATCTGATAGCTGTAAAACCTTCCCTTTTCTGGTTATATTTGATGCTTTCCAGATTTTGCGCTCAAGATGCAAAAGACCATCAGATCATTTAATTCAGATGTATCTGATGCCAAGAATTTGAGATTTGTCATCACAGATCTTCTCTCAAAACTCACTGGCATTTTATATCCTTGCATAAAAAATAATTGCTTTTAACAACTCTGAGTTGAAGTTCATAATAAAAAATTCTCAGTTGCCTGAAGTATGTTGAAAGCCTTGCAAGATTTGGCCTGATGGTTTCTTTCTATATCTGTTTGAGGCTGCAAACCTACGCACATTGACCTGGGAGTATGTTTCATGTATCTCTCTGGCATGAACCTTTATGTAGACCGTCATAGGACTGGACTGTAGCAAAGGGTGAATTGCGTATTTGATCAAGCATCTGTGTTCAGCAAATAGATTTTCCAGTAGAATCCGTCAGAAGGGAAGGATTTTGGTCCTTTCTAGTGTCCAATCAGCAGAAAAAAACTGTACAGGATTTCAATTTACTAGTCATTCTTATGAATTTAGTTTCAGTTTTAATGGTTTTAATTAATGCTCTATTTATTGTTTTAATTGTTGTGTTACTGTATTTGTTATATGTAACGGCATCAAATTGTTGCCAAGTGTAAATCATCCTGAGTCCCCCTTCAGGGGTTGAGAAGGACAGGGTAGAAATGCTAGAAATAAATAAAATAAATAATTTTCTTAGAGGCCAAAAATGGCATTTTGTCATGCACACGTGGACTGATTACACTTCAGATAAGGGGGTCTAGCTCAGCAACTATTGCAGTTAGAGACCTCAAATGTTGGGAAACTTAGTTTAACACCTGACTGTTGCTACAACTGGCTGGGTTGTAGCACAGCTGGTTAATTACTAGCTGCAATAGATCACTGACGGTTCAAAGCCCGAGTCAGATTGAGCACCTGACTGTTAAACCTAGCTTACTGTCCACCTAAGCAGTTTACCAGTTTGAATCCATGAGACAGGGTGAGCTCCCATTGTTAGCCCCAGATTCGAACCTAGCAGTTCGAAAACATGCAAATATGAGTCGGTCAATAGGTGCCACTTTGGCGGGAACAGTGCTCCATGCAGTCATGACCTTGGAGACGTCTATGGACAACACTGGCTCTTCAGCTTAGAAATGGAGATGAGCACCAACCCCCAGAGTTAGACTCAACTAGACGTAATGTCAAGGGGAAACTACAGAATTTCAATTTACTAGTCATTCTCCAGTAGAATCCGTCAGAGGGGAAGGCCTTTGGTCCTTTCCAGTATCCAACAGGAAGTATAATGAAAGCAGAAATGCTACCTTTGCCAATAGCGTTGGATGCATGTGTGTAGTTAGTGATTGGCTAGCTGCCTATGCTGTTGTCAGCAGTTGGTATCCGAAGTAATTAGGGAGTCAGGAAGCATGGTACCAACTGGAGATTGACTCAAGCAAGTTTTTTTAACTCTTCTCAGGAAAATCATACTTTACAAAAGGTTATGATCTCTAGCAAGGTCATGCCTTTCCAAAAGGTTATTATTCCAAAAAATGGTAATTAATGGTAATTAATCTCCAAAAGGGTCACGCTTCCAAAAACCTGTGAAGATTCCTAGTTTTCCCAAAAGGTTATGAATGCGATTTTCCAAAATGGCATGCTTATAGATAGCCATTTGGGGGCAGAGGGTCACATTTTGACCTTTTGCTGGGTCCAGATTTCTGCTAAACCTAGGATGGAATTCGAATTCAGCTTGAACACTACACTGTGTCCCCTACCACTCTGTTTTGCACAATGTGCTTATTAAACAAGGACATATTACAAAGCAAGGTGTTATTAATTAAAAATAAGGTCCTTTAGAGAACAAGCAGCAGCTGTAATTGTAGTTTGTGTTCTTTAATTAAGGGCAACTTTTTTGCAAAATTGTCGCACAAGCATAATTTTCCTTGCACCTCTCACGGCTCTCCAATTGCTACTGCCAATATGTCCCTTCCCCTTTGTGTTAATTGTTGTTAATTCATTTAGCAAGAACACGGTTCCTGCTAATAGAAATATATTGTATGGCTGTACAAAAGAATAATTTCCTTTTAATGTCATTTGAGGGTAATCTGCCGCTTCTGGTGTTTTATATCTTCTGCTATGTATGAAGACTGAAGAACTGGCACGATCTCTAAAATCTTCCGAGGAAGCTCTTCTCTTGCTCCCACCACCATCACAGGTACGGTTGGTGGGGACAAGAGAGAAGGCCTTCTCGGTGGTGGCCCCCCAGCTCTGGAACTCCCTCCTCCGGGAGATTAGACTCCACGGTCCATCTTATTATTTTATTATTTATTTCGGGCTTTTATATGCGTCCTATCTCAACCTCCACGGAGGGACTCAGGACGGCTAACAAATCGGCACCCCATGGCGCCCACATCAAAAACATAGATGCACAATGTTTTTAAATCTTCCGTGAAGATTTAAAGACATGGATGTTCCACTGTGCTTTCGACTAGACAATTCCTCTGATAAGACAATTAGACTAGACAATTCCTCTAGGGCCCTTGAACTTTACTATTTTTCTGTATCCAAAGTTGTAGTGCTCTAATTCACATTGCCCTCTATCCTTGCTGTTGCCAATTGACCAATGCACTTTATTCATCAGCCCTATCCTTACAATCGATTTGCACCAGTCCGCCCACCCATGCCCTGAAATTGATCATTATTGCAGGTTCATTGGTTGTTGGTTGATATTTGCTTTTATATTTTTATAATGCTGGTTTTATTCTGTTTTATGCTGTGATTTATGTACTTTAATGAGTTATATTTTAACTATGTTGATCAGACCCATCGCCATGTAAGGTGTCCTGAGTCCCTTTGAGGAGATGTAGGGAGAGTACAAACAAATCATATTATTCTGTAAGTTTTAATACATTCTTGACTTGTGCTGGAAAACTGAGATACATTGGTCTGCAGAGAAGTCAGTAGTACTATTTATTTATTTATTTACCGTAGTTGTATACCGCCTTTCTCAGCCCGAAGACGACTCAAGGCAGTTCACAGTTGGCAACAATTCAATGTCCAACAGGCATAAAAATACAATTAAAAACATTTAGCATATGTATATATATATACCATATAAAACCAATAAAAACATAACTAATCAGCATCTCCTTACAAAAATCATTTTCCAGTTGCATTGTCCAGTCGTTCCGTACTTCCATATTCATCTATTACGCTGCATGTGTGAAAGCTTGCTCGAAGAGCCAGGTTTTGACTTTTTTTACGAAATGTTAAGAGGGAGGGGACCAATCTAATATCCCTAGGGAGGGCGTTCCATAGCTGAGGGGCCACTGCTGAGAAGGCCCTGTCTCTCGTCCCTGCCAGACGCATCTGCAGAGATGGTGGGACCAAGAGCAGGGCCTCCCTAGATGATCTTAGAGTCTTAGATGGTTCATAAGGAAAGATGCGTTCGGACAGTTAACCTGGGCCAGAACCGTTTAGGGCTAAAGCTAGGATATTGTCTTGTTCACACATATCAGGAAGCATTCCAGTCCAGAATCTTCTAGAAAAAGAATTCCAGAAGACGGGGTAGAGAAACTGCCTTTTCTAACTGACTATAAAGACAGGTGGAACTGTTGGTAAGGACCGCATAAGTGTTGTGCATGTATGAACCCGATCACATTTTGACCAAATCTTGTTGGCTTTTTGAAGGGCGGAACTTCAACTGTGAGAAACTTTGAGGGATTTAGTTTTATTACTGCATAATAATAATAGATGGGCCCAGGGTTGGCAGTCACATAAAATCCCTTCGCCCTTCATAAAAAAGATATGACTCAGTGAGTTGCCGGAGTCATTGGAAGATTCTCCAGGACAGCGAAGCCTTTTGCTGCTTTCTGCCAGTTTTATAGCTGATGCAGGCTTACAAAGCATTTTTCAGAAGAATAACTCTTTTGTGACGAATTGGTCTGTAAAAGAATATTATTGTATCCCTAGCATCCTTCTGCCCTCTTAAAACAAAACTTTGGCCATTCAAAAGTATACTTTTACTTCTCTTCTAGGATCTCAGCTCATTCGCCATGCCCTTCCTGGACGGAGATGTGGACAATTCAGAGAAACATGCCTCACGAAAGGTAGGGTTCTCGGGGCTTCTCGGTATTTGTTATACATCTTGACACTAGAATATATGTTTTACTGTTTACAGAAGAGCCATGACTTTGTCTAGTTATGTCAGTTTTGTGTGAATTTTTGAATGGAGGAGTTTCTATGACTTCGGTTGTGCCTGCAATGCTGATAGTCACGTCAGAGTCACCAGACTCCTGACAACGTCAAGTGGCCAACTACAAAACGTAAGCCATTGACTTGTCTTTACTTGTGCCTCTTCGTAAAACCCAAACTATGGAAAGCAAAAAATGGTCTCATAAAGCGTATGCCATACAAGGTTTATATTAGGCATGGGGAAACTTTGATTGTCCAGGTGTTTTGGACTTCAACTCCCACAAGTCCTAACAGCTGATAAGGTCAAAGTTTGCTCATGCCTGCTGTCTATAGTCAATTGAGATGAACAAGTAGATGGGCAATGATTTGTATGGCAACACCAAATTAATTATACAAAGGAGGGGTTTTTGCATATCTTTGGTTAATTTTCAGAATTCTATCAGAATATAAATTTAAAATTTGGGGCAAAGGAAAAGAAATAGAAGAGTCACTGTGCATCGGCGTAATGAAGAACAGAAAGGATGCCAGAGATTGTGTCCTTTCAGGGGGAAATTCCTTTAGTTTCTATCTTTTGGGTATGTTTAAATTGTCACCTTCTTATGTCCCACTCCCCAAAACTTTGGTCAAGAGCATATTAATTTTTCAGGGATACTATTCCTTTTTCCTTTTGTGTAGTTGTATCGACCTCAAGTTCAGTTGTTATTTTATTTCAAGGGGTGGGTAGGTTTTTATTTTGATTTTGTTGTGATATTCACTCCCTGTTGAATTGTATCAGCTGAAATGTTGAATATTAATAAATCAATAGGTAAATGGCACTCTTTGCAACTTCATGCCCCCTAAACATACCTAAACAAAGTTCTTACCTTCCCTAGGCATTATGGCCATGCTGCCTTGGAATAAAGGGATATATAGTCCAATGTGTGTATTGAAAGTTGCATAAGGCTTTTTCTGAGTAACTGAAAAGGTTAGCTGTCTTCTCTCCTAACCCCAGTGGGAATGGCCTACCTCAGGGAAGTGTGCTTGCTCCATCAATGTTTAACATTTACACAAATTATCAGCCACTGCCAGAAGGGACAGAGAATTCCATCTATGCTGACGATCGCGCCATCACCACCCAAGCAGGGAGCTTTGAAATGGTTGAACAGAAGCTTTCAGAAGCTTTAGGTGCTCTTACTGCCTATTACAGGGAAAATGAGCTGATTCTTAACCCATCTAAAATACAGGCATGTGCTTTTCATCTTAAGAACAGACAAGCATCTCGAGCTCTGGGGATCACCTGGGAAGGAATCCCACTGGATCATTGCAGCATACCCAAATACCTGGGAGACACTCTGGACCATGCTCTGACTTACAAGAAGCACTGCTTGAATATCAAGCAAAAAATGGGTACTAGAAATAATATCATAGGAGACCTGATTGGCGCATCCTGGGGATCACAACCAGACACAATGAAGACATCTGCCATTGTGCTTTGCTCCCCTGCTGCTGAATACACATGCCCAGTGTGGAATATATCTCTCCATGTTGAAACAGTGGATGTGGCTCATAATGAGACATGCCGCATTATCACAGGATGTCTACGCCCTACACTGCTAGAGAAATTATACTGTTTGCCAGTATTGCACCATATCCGTCGGGAAGTAGCAGCCTATAATGAAAGGACCAAAGCATTGACAACTTTAGCACATCCTCTGTTCAGATATCAGCCAGCAGGCTAATGCCTTAAATCAAGAAATAGCTTCCTAAGATCTATAGAGATACTTGCAAGCAAGAGTCCAAATGTGGCGGGCTAAAAGGATGAGAAACTCCCTCCTGGGCACACAGAAGTCTGGGAGACTTCGAAGGAACTGAACAGACTGCACTCTGGCACCATGAGTTCCAAAGATAACCTTAAGAAATGGGGCCACAAAGTGGAGTCCACGACATTCGAGTGTGGTGAAGAGCGAACCACAGACCACTTACTACAATGCAGGCTGAGCTTTGCCACATGCACAATGGAGGACCTTCTCACAGTGACACCAGAGGCACTCCAAGTAGCCAGCTTCTGGTCAAAGGAAATTTAGTATAATGCCAAGTTTTTAACTTTGTGGTTTTTCTTTACATTATATCTGCAGTCTCAATTCGCTTCTGACACGATAAATAAATAAGCACCCCAGTGTTTGTGATTAATTAAACATTGCCAGAAATTTAAAGGTTTTGTTTTTTAAAATCCCACTGCCACTGTAGTTTGTTCATGGATTCAGAGCAATGTCCTTTTTTTTCTTTGCAGAAGGAAGCTTCATTTCATACCTGAATCCCTTTGATATGCAGAGTCATTCTCCTCTCTGAACGAGAGGCTTTTCATGCTGCTGCCCTGGGAAGAGAGAGAGAGCTAATGACTCATGAGTCAGTCGGGCCAAGGAAGGAAATTGTACCTCTTGCAGGGAAAATAAGATGAGAAATTAGTCAGCACTCTTCGCTGGAATGATAAGGTTCCCTTTGCTAAGGTTAAGATTAAGGAGACATCTGACTTCCAGCTCACTTCCCCGCATGACGGTTATCTCACCCAGTGTTTGAAGTCTTCCTTGTCTTCTTCCACTTGGCATGTAATTAGGATAATGAATAGCACACTGTTGGTATGCATGGCCTTTCCTAAACTAAGAGGGTAATTTTTGATCTTAAGTAATTGGATTCCATCCACCTTTTTATTACATGCAGAGTTTTGGAACATCTTAAGCAACCTCAAAGCATTGGCCCATCTTGTATTATGGACTCAGACGGAGAGTCCATAATATTCAAGAGAGATATTGACAAGTTGGAATGTGTCCAAAGGAGGGCGACTAAAATGATCAAAGGTCTGGAGAACAAGTCCTATGAGGAGTGGCTTAAGGAGCTGGGCATGTTTAGCCTGAAGAAGAGAAGGCTGAGAGGAGATATGATAGCCATGTATAAATATGTGAGCGGAAGCCACAGGGAGGAGGGAGCAAGCTGGTTTTCTGCTTCCCTGGATACTAGGACGCGGAACAATGGCTTCAAACTACAAGAGAGGAACTTCCTGACTGTGAGAGCTGTTCAGCAGTGGAGTGTGGTGGAGGCTCCTTCTTTGGAAGCTTTTAAACAGAGGCTGGATGGCCATCTGTCAGGGGTGATTTGAATGCAATATTCCTGCTCCTTGGCAGAATGGGGTTGGACTGGATGGCCCATGAAGTCTCTTCCAACTCTTTGATTCTATGACCGGCTGTTGCTTTCCTCTGAGGTTGAGAGGGAATGACTTGCCCAAGGCAATTCAATGGCTTACAGGAGCCAAGTGGGGATTCAAACCGGAGTCTTAGTCCAACACTCAAAGCACTACACTTTGCCAGCTCTCCACTTAATTCTCTGCTTTACTGAAATCCTCCTTAACCCAGACATAAATCCCTTTCAGTGTCATAATAGTCAAAGCAGTTTTATTTCTTACTAACCTTTCTGTCTATATACTGCCCTCTTGTGGTTGCATCTGAGCACTACATACATCCATGCCTATTTATTCATTTTTGGGGCCCTAGCCCCAAATAGATGATTTTTTAAAAAGTTGAACCCTTACCAATATTTTAAGTTGGATTATGAAAAATATATGTATCAGTTTTGGTCCAGATCCATCAAGCTGGTTAGTAGCCATTGTGGAACATACGGACACACACGCACACACACAATTTTTTGCTTATATACTAGCCGTCCCTTCCATGCATTGCTGTGGCCCACATGGGGGTTCTGTGTGGGAGTTTTGGCCCAATTCTATCATTGGTGGGGTTCAGAATGCTCTGTTGATTGTAGGTGAACTATAAATCCCAGCAACCACAACTCCCAAATGTCAAGGTCTATTTTCCCCAAACTCCACCAGTGTTCACATTTGGGCATATTGAGTATTTGTGCCAAGTTTGGTCCAGATCCATCATTTGTTTGAGTCCACAGTGATCTCTGGATGTAGGTGAACTACAACTCCAAAACCAAAGGACACTGCCCACCAAAACCTCCCAGTATTTTCTATTGGTGGTGGGAGAACTGTGTGCCAAGTTTGGTTCAATTCCATCGTTGGTCGGGTTCAGAATGCTCTTTGATTGTAGGTGAACTATAAATCCCAGCAACTACAACTCCCTAATGACAATATCAAATTTTTGAGTGAAGGACATACATTGGGTTGTTAGATGTCTTGTGTCCAAATGTGGTGTCAGTTCATCCAGTGGTTTTTGAGTTCTGTTAATCCCACAAACGAAAATTACATTTTTATTTATATAGATGTGTGTGTGTGTGTTGTTGCGCAGAGCATGTTTTAGCCAGGTCCAATTGCAAAAAACACACAAACAAGAGGAAAAAGGAACAGAAAAACTATACTCTTATCAGCAGAGGTAATAAACTTGCAGTGTTGCATACAAAATCAAACAGTGCAACAAACTTACATAGTCCTTGTAAGTAACTCAGAATAAGGCTTCTTCTTCTTCATTCAAATGAGAGAGCAAAACATAAACCTTGAGTAAATAGCTATTCCACCATAGCAAAGAGCATTGCTGTTAGAGCATTACAGCATATTACATCTCCTTCAGAGCAGCGTATTGCTTCTCCAAACTGTATTCTAAAATCCATACAGTTATACCCCACCAGGTGTGGCCCAAACATGCCGGTTGACCTACATTACCAGCTGTACATAATAATTAACATCATAAGGTTTTTCTTTAACACACACTTGATCCTGCTATGACTTACTGTAACGTGTGTGACCAAATAATTGATTTGAAAACTTCAAGGATATTGCAGATGTAGAAGACATTTTATACTCTGTTTGCTAAAATGGAGCCCCCGGTGGCACAGTGGGTTAAAGCACTGAACTGCTGAGCTTGTTGATCGAAAGGTCGCAGGTTTGATTCCGGGGAGCAGCGTGAGCTTCCGCTGTCAGCCCTAG